AACTTGTAATTTAAAGTTGACGCGAGGTTTCGCGAACCCGATCCGATTCATGCATACGAATAAAGGCTAAAGGGATAAAGAAAGTTTTACGGAGGAGAGCTCAGGGCTATAGAAGAAATTCTCGCTCAGGTATAAATTACGCGCCAATTAATTGGCAATTAAGACCAGCTACTTTTTTTCGTCAAATTAAATTAGCTTTCTTAACCCTTGACTCTTCGAGTATGTATATATAATCACGACAAGAGGCCAAGTTGACGCGTGCTTTTTTCCTTGCAACCGCTCAAGACCGCGGTGAGCGACTCCTCAATGCTACCTTCTTCTTTTTTTCTCTAATTTAAGCCCCTATTTCATTCTTCTTTGCCCGTTAAACTTTGAAACTTTGGATCTGCAGGCTTTTTCAGCAACGGCACACAAGCAAGATCAGCCTTTAATCGAGACCTTATCCTCGCGAGGGCGCGCGCGTACACTTTTGACTTTTTTATCCATCTAGTGATACAAGAGCATTTTTTTCTGGCGGTGCGCGCGCTGACAACGATCTCGGTGGCGCATACTTTCAGGAATGATTCATTAAAGACCGCGTCGTGACATTTTCGTTTTTTTTTTTTTGCTCTCTCCCTCTCCGTCTCTCCTCGACGTTCTACACTACGTTTTGATTGAAAACTCTAGATGATAATGATTAACGCGAAGAGTTTGCAGAACAAACACACTAGATCGGGGCCGAGAGTTCAACGTTTAAAGTGTCATCGTGCGGTCTCGAGAGGTTACCTCAAGATGGGCGGTAAGTTGTTACCTTACGTGTCGGGCGAAATATTGACTTTTTCACTTGATTCATAATAATCGCTTACGCGAGACGAGGGACGGATGAGTGGACGGTTTTCACAGAGACCTTAGAGTTGGCCAAGAGAAAGAGATAATGGTTTTCGGTGATACAAGATTGCAACGAGTTATTTTATATCGAAAGCACCTCAATTGACATTTGGAAGTTTCTCGTCCGGACGTGAACAAACACTCGTCGAAGCGCTTACTGCGCTTGTAATTTTCACTTTAACGTGGGCGTGTGAAGGGCGACCCTTTGATTTCCCACTCGCAGTAGCGACAGAAACTACGCCCCATTCTTTTCTTGGCGTGGCACGGAGCATAGTCATTCGGTCGTAACAAAAGTCTGCTCCGCCACTGGTACTGCTTTAACTTTGCAGTTACCTTTTTTTTTTGCTCGTTCTCCGGGAGCTGAAGTCTGTGTGTGTGTCGCTGTGCTGCAACGCACACTTTCAATAGGTGCGATGCGAAGTAAAAAAGAATGTAAACGAGCGAATGCAGGAACCGCGTGACTTTAGAAAGATGCGTAACGCTATTAACGTATGCACCGTGTGGCTTTTTACTCGGTATTAAACTGGAATTCTGACTAAAAGACAGAGGTGTTGCTGCGAGTGAACTGTGTTTGACGAAAAAACAATGATCTATTATACTTTTAAGAGGAATGGTATTTTTCTCTATACTTTTCATCTTGTTAACTTAAAAGCGAGATGAAAAATGTGAAATATAAATTTACTGAGGCTCGTTCTAAGATTAATCCGTGGACTTGCTTGTATCAAAAGCAGATATTTTTTTACCTCACTCGTCATGAACATGACAAAAGTAAGTTCGAAAAATCGACAGCAATAACAAAGAGAGCAATTTTTTTTTCAAGCTCGCTATTGCAGTAGGAAAGCTCTAACAGCAAAACAAGCGAGCTAGCGATTTTATTCTCTATGACTTTTGTTAACGGTTTTTTTCTTTCCTCTTTTTTTTTCTTTTTTTATTTTTTGCCTTTGATGGATCTTGTGTGGCTGATTTTCATTCGTTTAATTTACAAAGAATTCACAAAAGAAAAATGATCTCTCGAACGAGAAAGAGGAAAAAATAGAAGAAAAAAGGAAACCAATTCATGGATGAATGAATACAATCTCGATTTATATACGTACAAAACAAATACGTATTTATACGTTATACTTCAAGTTCACGTCCATGAATTTTGATGTTTGAAAATTGTTGTAGTATAACAGTGCCGCAGTCTGTTGCTCGTATAAAGAGAATTGCCAAGAGTTTCAGAGAGTAAGCAGGTTATGATACGAGCAAATTCAACTTCTTGCCCGACCGACAGCTCAGATACGTGAAGAAGCGGTGTCCTTTGCCGAACTATAGACTGATAAGAATGACATGGGAAATGATGAGAAAAGATACGTGCAAGTTTCGTACGACAAAAAATAGGGATAAAAACGTGAGCTGAAAAAAGCAGTTATTCAGTTGGGGTGCAAGTTATAAAATTAAAATTTGGTACAAAAACTTGCAGCAATCGATTAACAAGCTCGCTCGGCTGGGAGTAAACTGTAATTGAAAAGCCGAAACTTTAGAAGCGAAATTTCTTCCTCGTTCCAGGCCAAAATAGCGTTAAAAAACGGTTTCAATCAACAATTGCTTCGTTAAAGCTCAGGCAAATTCAACGTTACAACGAGATGAAGCCGAGCCAGAATATATATCCGGTAAGCAAATGCTTTAACCGAAACGCGCGGCGCCAGGAGAAGGGTCACGGTAATAAGAGAAGGAGAAGACCTGAATGAGAGAATCTCTCTATCCTAATCGCACACAAAAAGCCTTTTCTCCGGGCCAAGTGCGAGAAAATTGTCCCGCTTCTCGTTATCGCCGTTCACACATAGAGGCATTGGTATAACGTGCTTTTGCTTTTTCATTACCCGCACTGCACATACGCCGAGAGGGGAGGGGGAGAATGGGCAATTTCACATGTAAATAGCAAACTGAAACGGTAACAACAAATTTAATGACCTCATTGTAAGAGTGACGTTGCCGTGTATATATCGCGCTAGTCGGGAGGTATCCGTGTGTTTACTCGTAGCTTAGTTTATACTGCGCGTGTCTTGCAAGGAAACTCATTGCATAAGGAATGGAATCTTCTTTGGAATGTACTGTTGTGTAGCAAAAACGAGGGAGAAAGACACCCGACAACAATGGATTGCCATCGGTGTGGAATTTTACGCATACCAGCGTAAGAGAATATTTTACCGCGCGAGCGAGTGTGATTTAGTCTTCATGCGTAAGGGAAAACTTGCAAAAAATGACAAAAATGTATCTCTCGGTTTTTATTAATTCACTGACACCGGAAAGATATTTTTGCTCTTGGTTACAATATTTAAAAAAAAAAAATTTAACGATAAATTCCATAGTCTTGCACGTAATTAAGTATATTAATGACGATATTCATGAATATAAGAGAATATGTCCAAGTAAGCGTTGCTACGGCGCTATTATTGCAAAGTTGTTGGTTGCGCAAGCGATAGCAGTAACAACAAGCCAGTGGCAGTAGCAGCCAAGGTGGTTATTGAAGCACACGCGCGCGTATTGGCTAGGGGTAAGGGGGATAAACTCGATATGCGATAACGGTGTATACGTACCTGTGCTTACTCCTTCCCAAGTGCTTTCTATCTCGGAGAGCAACCCCCAGCTCGTTCGCTCTCTCTCTCTCTAGCAGTGCCGCCTGCCACTTGCGATACATCGCGAGTAACGAGTTGTACGTTATACTCGCTATATACATGTATACACCGTGGCGCGCTCGCTTCGTTCGCTTTGCCGATAGTTTCGTTGGTGAATCTACTGTTAAATTGCTTACACACTTTTTCGTCATTTGTTTCTGTTACGTTTAATTCAACATCGCTTGTAGTATTCTATTACGACTAGGATTTTTGACTCTAACACGTACATTTGTCGGACCGAAAAGTTTTCAATGTAAGAAGAGAAAAACACGTAAGTTAGAGCGACGATTTTTGAGAATTTTCCCGAGTCATTGTGCAATGCTGTTGAGTAATCGTTCCAGCAACGTTTTAAAAGGATTAGCACGGAAAGAAAATCCAACAAATATAAATAGAATTTATAAAAAAAAAATTAATATAATTATAATATCTATTAAAAGAGTGACACCCAGATATTCTGGTTGTATTTTCTCTTTACTACACAAAAATCTCGTTATTTTTTATTTTTTGAAATAGAATTTTATAGAAAGTTCATGTAAAATATTTTATTTTGATATAAAATTTAATTTAGAGAAAACGGGTTAAAGATTAACGAGTTAGCATAAAAGTTCAATTCAATAATTAATAAAATACTCACATCCCCGTTTCAAAATTTCAACAATATGTTATCATGATTATCTACTTTTCTTATATTATCTGAAATGGAATTTACTCGCTTGGGGGTTAGCGATGCGACATCTACATTTGATGAGCTAACTATAAAATGTATTATTCAAGAGCTTACAGAACACGATAAGCTGCATAGTATACGTTTTTTCAAATCGCAATGTTTAATTTTACTTGAATGCTAACCCCACTAATAATAATCAACGAAAACAACGAACTTGAAGTCCACGCAAAATTTTACAATACAACTCCTAATAGTACTGAAATGTATCACACAATGACTAAAATTGTTGCAAAGTAGAATTATAAATTTCATGGTAAATTTTATGTGAAAACTATTACGATGAAAAGAATATTTTTTATGATTTGGGTATTATTTTTTACAAAGAAAAGAAGTCACACTTTTTATCGTAATAATTTTTATCATACAAGTTCCTTTGTGTACCCTGAGAATGCTCAGATCGTTAGATTATTTCGGCACACGGTGCCAAAGTGATTTGCGCGAAGTGTATTTAATTAAACACTTTTTAAAAACGATTAATTGCGTAACAATTTGCATATCTTCTCGTTTCGCATAGCTGGAGGTTCTAGCATACCATTTTGTTAACTGGAATTTTTTCCAGGAAAGTCGGTCACCCTGAGTTATCGACCCAAATCGAGTTTCCAACAATCGCTCTGCTGCTTTGATAATCATTAATGAGCGATCGTGTCGTCTTACCACTATTGCGATGTAATATAACTTAGAATTAATAAAAAAAACTTTTCTAGATCAATGAGGAAGGAAGGAAGGAAGGTGCAGGAGAGTGTACTGACCTTCGTGAACTGTGAGAGTTGCGGTCGCCGTCACCGCATCGCCCACGCCATTTTCCGCCAAGCACTCGTACTCGATACTGTCACGGCCCGTGCGGACCGGCTCGATTCGCAGCAGCGTGCCGTTGTCGTATGGATGGACCATGAATCGCGACTGAGTTTCTGCAATTAATGAAAGTTTCACTCGAGTAAATGCATCGGAGAAAAACTTTTTCCAATCGAATACTAGTCATTACCAAATGATTTTTCCAACTGTTTACATTGGAAAGTTGTACTTAGAGCGAAGAACGAAATTTGTGCGCGCCGTTATTATCGCGAAAAATGAAATAAGTTCGAGGAATGAGCCACAAACTATTTGATACTAGAGAATAGCCGTTTAATTATACATCTCAACTGGCGCGCATGTGTGCGCGAGTGGGTAAAAACGACTTGGCCATTTCACGCAAATCGGATCTTTACAGCTTTTATGCTGTTGCACTAAACGAAACAAATCGAAACGAGATAGCGAGTAACGCACTTAAATTAAAGCTCACGGATCGAAGCTTTTACGCCAGTATTCCCAGATAACTGAATGTAAAAAAGGCAAGAAATTTATATGCTCTTTTGAATGTTTTTTTTAAACACAATGCGATTGAACGAAACCATTGATTGCGGTTTTTTTCATAAATATTTATGTGGGATCGAATTTTTTTATTTTTTCGTCTTTATAACAGCTATAAACGCGTAAAAATGCCTTTCCATATATAATTCAAGTCATAATTATTCACTTACGAGTAATTTTTCTCCCATTTTTACGCCAATGAATCTGCGGTGGCGGTGATCCTGATGCACTGCAGAAAAAGCTCGCTATTCCTCCAGCTTTGACTTTCAACGACTGCGGTTTTCCCAGGAATCTCGGTGGGCCTGTAGGCAAAACAAATAAAATTTCTTGCATGAGTATGGATGGATCGATTTTTAGATCAAAGAGAATTACTGTGAATGCTGGTGGTAAATAGACATAATTTTTGAGGTCATAAAAATTTTACATTCAAGTTACATTTTGAAATAGAAAAACATGATCGCTTGGGAAGTTGTATTTCTTAGTATTATAACTTTGAGTTCACTCGATTTTTCAAATCTGGAAATATTCTATTATAGCGCATTCATGAATACATATTTGCCCATAAAAATGTGCCTTTCAACTTCATTTTTGATCGTAAAAACGAATTTTACGATAGAATGTTGTGCGGCTTTATCTAAAAATTCTTCGATACAAACGTACACAATAGCTCGAGCCCACAAATGCAGCTTTATTATTACACATTTCTTGCGGACTGCAATCAGACATTTTATACTCATCCGATTGACTTAGTTTTGGTTTTGAGAGGGAGAAAAAAATACGTAGCTGGAGCTCGAGAGTCGTAATTGTAAGAAATATAATTCGAGGGCCGCTGCGATGTTGAATCACGCGAATCAGTATTTTTATCCCGCGCTCAGTTATGGTGTGATAATTTCTCCTTCGACATCCAATATTTAAGCGGTCATTTATCTCAGGAAGGAAAGAATGCTTAAAGCTCGACTGTTGGCACGAGATAAATTTACAGCTTATATATATAGCAGCAGAAAGAGAGAGAAAGAAAGACAGAGAGGTGAGCATGGGAGAAAGAGAGAGGAATAGGCTGGAGTGGCTATAAGCGATTAAAAAGTTAACCGACCGTTAAACCAAGCCATATAGCATAGCAAAAAGCTTTCGACGCGAGGCAGCGGTGGCAGCGAGCGGGTGTGCACGCTCGTCTTTCATCTCTACTTCTCCTGGTAATGACGATTATTAATTAACGAACTTTCTACGAGCGTGCGCACAGCTTTTCTCTCTCTCTCTCTCTCTCTCTCTCTCCCTCTCCTTTTCTTTTTACTCACGCGTTAACTCCCGCATTATACACCGCATCGATGCCTATATATCTATACAACGGCGCAATACACAAAGTGAAGAAAGCAGTACCTTCTAATTTAGCGTTTTTCCTCAACCTCCCCCACGCGTGAGAGAGAAGAGAGAGAGAGAGAGGGGGGTTCAGAGCGTACACGATCAAGAGACTATATTTATGAGCTTACGAATGGAAAAAAGGAACTCGAGGAGCACAGCTCCGTGCCGCAGAGTAGCAGCAGCAGCAGCATATCGCGCCCGTGGAACAATGGCAAGCACGTACGCGCGGGAGCTTTTTTGCAACTTTTCCCAAAGTTGTACATTAGCGCCGGAGTGTAGCTTGTTCGAAACGGGGCGCGCACTTCGCCCACCGCCCTCCCCCACCTCTTGCCAGCTCCCCGAATGGATAATGTTTTGTCGAACGAAAATGGCCCATGGTGTATGCGCGCGTTTTACGTTTTAATGTCCGACTCTATATACCCGTACACAAACGCGTACACCTGATATTAAGTGCTTTCTCCGACTCTTTCACTCGACTCGAGTGCGAGGTAGGTACCTTTAACGTGAGCATATTTTAGAATTACACAGTTTCTATACAAAAGCCTCGACAATGTATACAACTATGAATTGAACAATTTCTTATTAATTTATTTTAAACGGTTGTTTTAACTTAAATTTATAAAAGCTTTTTTGAGATCGATTCAAGTACAGAGTAACAAAAAATATATTCGACAGTCAGCGTAATGACACGTACATCCCGCAAGAGCACGAGTACGACTGTCTAGAGTGCGCATAATACAAAAGAGCCATGCATCAGATGTTCGTACACGCAGTATGGAGATTACTTGGCGTGTGCACCTACACACATGCACATAAAGTTCATCCATGCGCTAGGATGTTTCAAAATCAAAGCCGGAGCACCAGAGCGGTAGTAGCGGCAGCAAAATCGCACCTGTGACGTAGATGCGATTTATAGGGAAAGCGAATTAGAGGATAAAGTGCCGGGTTATGTATATATGTATGTTATATTACACGTACGCAGACGCGTAGAGCTATATGCGCGATCGATTTATCAACAAGAGATGCTGTATCACAAATACCGCCGAGTCTTCAAAGATTTACAAAAGGCTAACGCTTTAATCCGATTACATAATACCTTACTTATTATGTATGAAGCAATTTTATCCAAAATTATATCAGAATGTATGGAGTATTAGATCATAGATAGAGGGAGAGAGGGACCGACTGACTTTTCAGAAATAACGTTGGTGAAATTCATCACGTAAAAAATAAGCGAGCGGGCATAATTGAGTTGTATATGGGCGCTGCGGTTACGCGTCGAACGATATTTCAGATGAAGATACTCGGCAGAGCATGTTGTGTCCCCATGGCAAAAGTCGAAATGGAGAGATAGAATCAGAGAGAGGAAAAAAGAGAAAAAAAAGGAAAGAGAGAGAGAGAGAGGGATGGGAAAAATAGCTTACTTTCTCTTTAGACAGAAGCGTCGCGCGTAGGGTCGTTATGCAATGGCACGTGGTTTTCAACGCGACCACGACGAGTGGTTAATGGGTCAACGCCATTTCGCGCGCACATATCTACGCGAGCTGGCAATAGTAAAGCTGCTGCTGCTGCTGCTGGCTCGGCTGGCCGGGTAACAGCAGGACTGCTGCTGCTATGCACTCCAACGATAAAATTAATTTACGAAATTGGCTCGTTGCGCGCAAGCGAGACCTTATGCAGCTTTTATACTCGCGAGTACACGTATACACTCACGAGCGTACGACAGGTGTGGATGTGTCGATGGAAACTATCGTCACGACTAAATGTGTTCTTTTACATTATAGCTCCATTATCCAGGTACGCTCGAATATGTCTGCCGCCTTGTGCAAGATAGAGAGAGAGAAAGAGAGGCAATATGAAAAAAAAGGGATGAAAATAAAAGGAGCGCGTAGCCTGGCTGCAATGCACAAAATATGTTGATGTGCCAGGCAAAGCCGCTTCTGCTCTACGCTCCTGTCGCTGTCATCGTCGTCGTCGTCGTCGTCGTTGTCATCGTCGTTGTTGTCGTCGTCGTCGTCGTCGTCGTTGTTGTGGTTGACTTCTTGCTATAAGCGATTTACGTGCCACACAATGGATATTGTCGTGTATACAATGCTGACTCTCGTAATAACGTTGAAAATTAAATGGGCTTTTGTCGGGAGCCAAAAACATTTTTCCATGCGGCAGCTGGCTTTTTTCCGTTCGCTACCGAGCCCCGCAGCTCGCGTATATTATAATGATTGTATTATCGAGCTAGTCGCAAAATTAACATTTTATTTAATTACGGAGGTCAAAATTATAACGCTTGTCGTGGCAACTTTGGAATTTTCAATGCTGTCGCCACCGGTCTACCATGTGCGAGCTATATGCGCGAGGTTTTTAATAAAATTACGATAAAAGTACCCTCGTGTTCCTCGTTGATGTAAAGGTATACATTTCACTCTTTCCTCATTAAATTTGTCACAATAATGTTAAAAATTCGTTTGTCACGATTTTCGGGACGACCTATTATGTTATCGTGGCATTCACTGTGAAACAGACGTAATTATAAATCCGAACCTCCTTTGTCGACGATACTTTTTTGTGTTGAAGAAAAAAAGGCCATTCCATTCAAATACAACTTATTTTTGATTTTATTTTGCTAGAGCGCAGCCAAGATCCAAGCACATAGCGACATTCAAAACCGTACTATGGCGGCCCGGATGCTGTCTTGTGCTTCCTCCCCCCACTCCGTGCAGGAAAACGAGATGGCGGTGGTGGTTACCGAAATTGCCAACTAGCTACTACCGAGAGTTACAGAATACCGCAATCATGAAATTTTTTTCTTTCCCCGCTTGCGCCCAGAAAATACTTCGATCGATTTTCAGCGCTCACACACAGACCCACATGCTGCCGCGTACACGAGCCCGGGCTATATAGTGCGTGAGACTTTTACGAATTTCAAACACGTACCATGGGGTTATACCTATATAGCCATTTCCTCGATTGTGCGCGCGCCCGCTGCTACGTGTTATCATATTTTGAATTGCTGTAGTGCCGCGTAAAAATGGCGCAATTATGTCGTCGAAATATCATTACCAGCAATGGTTACCGTGACGATATACCGTCAACTTCGAGGAAATTGATAATTGCAGTCGCGATGAAAAAAGTCAAAGTATTGTTCTGTTTAATGGTACATTTTTAATTAAGCGAGTGTCCTCCTGCAGCATGAATCTTTTCATTCGGAACGAAGCCATAAATTCGGTCGTTACAATTTTATACTTTTTTCGATTTCGTACAACTTGAAATGTAACGAAAAATCAAATCTTTACAACTATTCGTGAGCTTGCACACGAAGTGTGCAGAACTCTTTTGGTGAATAAATCGAAATCGATCGAATTATAACGCAGGTTAATCGAAAAAGTCTGTGCTTATACATGTTCACGTATATTCGCGCGAGTTTGACGGGTGTAAACACAGAAAAAGACAGCGCCAGTCGCAATATATATATATCTGATGGGAAAAAAACATATTACACCGAAATTGGGCTTCGGCATTGCGCGCCAGGCACAACCCGGCACAGCGTACAGCTCCGCTTACATACCTATACATTAGCAAACACGATTGGCGCACGCGCTAACTTTGAATTGGATTAATTTAATATTTGTCCGGCTTTTCAATTCAGAGCGTTGCAGTTGCACATCGGCGTCGAGAAAGGGAAAAGCTAGTTTCCAATAAATACGCAGCGCGCGTTTGCCATCGCACATCTTTACCACGCGGGCGCGCGCGAGCGGTACACGTACGCGAAACTTATACTTGTGCCGGGGCGCTTCGTGAGCCGTGGCCATGCCTGCACAAATGCGTGTTGACCTTTCTAAATTAAGAATAAACTCGGGGCGCGTTGAATTATGCGTGAAATTATATTTGCTCGCGACTTTTATAAACAATTTCGAAGCAAGTGGAAAAATCTCTCAGGGATTTTCGC